GCGTGGCGGCCGGCGTCCCCAGCAGCCTCACCTTGGAGGATCACGGAGACGCGCCTGTCTTCCAGCACACACACGAGTTCCACCGAATGCTTCAGGAAGGCCCTGCAAACAGAAAGGGACGAATGTGCTTAAAAGTCACATTCCTACCAGACGGCTAAAAAAAGACTCGGAATCCAGCAGATCCACTGTCCACGTTTGCGTCCTCGATGACCTTTACGAGTTTCTTCAGCATGGACGTGATTCTTCACGGAACGTTTCGATTTTTATACCGAGAAATTCAATATCCTTTCATAAAAAGGAAGGAGCGGGTTGATGTAAGAACCGTGAACGGAGTCTGCAGAGACGGGGAGATCAGGGGTTGCCAGGGCCGGGCCGGGGTTAGGGGGGTTCAAGTCTCGAAGGGCAGCACTGGGGGGGGCCGGGTCGCCACAGGGCGGGGGTGTGCGACTGTGGTGGTGGCTACAGGAATCGATGCACGTGCTGAAGTGCACGGAAGCACACACACACACGCACACGCACGCGCCCACACACGCACACACACATACACACGCACACATGCACGCACGCATGTACACACACACATGCACACTCATGCACACGCGCACACAGGCGTGCGGGCCTGGTTTGGACACTGCGTTCCGGTTAAGTAAGACGCCGCTGTGGGAAGCTGGGTACAGAGTCTGGCTCGCTTTTCTGTTTTTGTACCTCTTACGAGTCTCTAATTACTTCAAAATATCAAGTTAAAGGAAAAAAAATGGTGTACAAACCTTACATATTCTAACCAGCGAGTACTTTCCAGTGACGACAGCCATTTCTCCTCAGTTTCTTCAAAAGGCTCTACAATGAATACGTAATCACACAGACACGTAATTACACACACGCATACACAGAGCTCTTTTTAGGCTCTTTAAGCTGAATTTTACACGATCGACGTCGGCATTAAGTGATACATCGCAGTCTTTAATATTTAAAAGGTGGCTCTAAGGAAGCGTCATGCACTTTCGTTTAAAGATATAAAATTTAAGAAGACGTGTCACGATTCTTTAAAGCAAGCACCCCCAGGCCTCCACCTTGACTGTGGGCGACCTGACCAACCTCTACCCACCTCCCAGGAGCTGCTGAGCCCAGCCTTCTTGGTCAGGCTGCCCCGATTCCAGCCCTCACTCCCCGGGAGACCCGCTGCCCAGCCCCCGACGGCTCCCTGATGGCGGGCTATGCCCCCCCACCCCCACCAGGGCTGCCTCCCCTGGCCTCCCCGGCCGTACGGGCTGACCGTGGGAGGCATGAGTGCACCTCCCTGTTGGGACGTGCACTGCCCGCCCAGTGTGACCTCAAGGTGCCTCTCGCCTCACAAGCCTCACGTTTCGGTCACACTCAACTTACTGTGCAGCTATCGGTCACTCGGGTCACCATGTGTTTCACGTCCCCTCCCCACTCTCGCCCCCGAGCTGCTGCAGGGGCTGCCTGTCCTAACCCACAGGTGACTTAGAGCGCTCTTGGGCACACTTTCCACCACAGGTGCTGTCGTGTGAGGCGGCTCTCCGGAACAGCGGTCCCCAGCCTTTGTGGCACCAGGGACCGGTGCCCCTAGGAGAATCTCACGCCTGATGATCTGAGGGGGGCTGAGGCGGTGACGCTGGCGCTGGGCAGCGGCTGCAGACACAGACGAAGCTTCGCTCGCTCACTCGCCCGCCGCTCCCCTCCTGCTGTGTGGCCAGGTTGCTAACAGGCCATGGCCTGGTCTCCCACGACCTGGGGGATGGGGTCCCCTGCTCCAGGACACGTCGAAAGCACCTGGTACATGTTTGCTCCCTGAGCCTGCGCAGATTACGACACGGCTCTGCCAAGTTACGTGTCTCAAAATGCAACTGTACGCGTTAACACCTTAGTGGGTTTGTGCGGCAGCCCGCGTCCTACTTCGCAGACACTTCGCGAAAGCGCCCGGCGCCGCCTTTCGTGATCTGACGGAGAGTTAACTGGTTCCTTTTTCCCTCCGCAACAGAAAGCAGCTTACGCTTCGTTCTCTGAGGGCGCCTGACCCTCTCGCACTGTCACAGTCTGCGCGACTGTGTCGGCGAGCCCGTGGGAGGACCGCCTCTCCCGATATGCCTCGCACGACGCGGAACGCCCGCCCGCCACACGCACGCACGCGGAGGAGGGAGTGGCACTTACCGTTCACGCACAGCTGCTTCAGCTTCACGAAAGCCGCCTGTGTCTCCTGGACGCTGGGCAGCGTCTTATCCAGGTCTGATTTGTAAACGTCACTTCTCTGCGGGTGACTTTTAGTCACTGCATTGCAAATCCTGAAAAAGACAATCCTCGCGTCACCGTTCACGCATCGAGTCACACACGTTTCCCGAACGCCAACTCCGAGCCACGCGCTGCGCCGGGAGCGGGGGAGGGAGCGTGAATGGCCAGGCCGGGTCTCAGCCTTCGGGGGTCACCTCCTTGGGGGCAGGGACGAGGTGACCGAGAAGGTAACGTCTGCGCTGAGAGCCGTGGCTGACGTCACCGAGTGCAGGCCAGCGCCGGCACGTGGTCAGAAAAGGCTCCTCTATGTGGATGACACTGAAGCCGAACCCCAAGTGACCAGGAGCCGTGCACGGATCCGGGGAAAGTGCTCTGGGCAGAGGGACAGCCAGTGCAAAGGGCCTGTGGCAGAACACGGCTCGGCTGCCGGAGAAACCCGGAGAGGCCGGTGGGTCTGCGACGCAGGCCCGAGGGGCGCGGGGGTGGAGACGAGGTCGGACCGTGCAGGGTTCTGCCCTCACTGCAGGGACGAGGACGGAATCCAACCGTCCTCGGCTTAACGAACTGCGTAATTAAAAGCGCCACTGGCTGCAGTTTGCAGCCCGCTCAGCCAGCGGTGCTGTCTCCCCCTTGAGACCGAGCCCCCTGCCCGGCGGGCCCCTGGGCACACGAGGCCCGCAGCACGGCCTGGCACGCGGCAGCGTCCGAGCTGATTAAGGAGCAACGAAAATCCGCCAGCGCGTGGGCCTGTGCGAACTACAGGCGCCACCCCGCCCCCCATTCAACGGAAGGGCCACTGAGGGTCACTGGGTAGTCGCTGCGTCAGCAAACATGGCGCTCTCAGCCATGGCACCGTGGGAATCCTAGGACGTGGCCGCGACGCACCATTTCTGAGGCTTCCTGAGCCCGTTTCCTAAGCTCTGTCCTTTGTTTTCCATCTAAAGTCCCCAGCAGCTCCGCAGGACCGTGGGCACGCCCTGGTGCGGCACACACGCTGGCGTGCAAAACAGACACGGTGCCCGCACCTCGTGGAGCTCGGCCCAGCAGCACAGTCATCCAACTGAAGCGCACACGTACAGTTCAAATCCCAAACAGGTGCCACTGATTTCGGAAGACAACTTAGCTCCAGAGAGCACATGACTCGTGGCCGGATCTAAGCTGGGGGGAGGGAAGGCCGCGCTCAGGGACGCGACGTCCGAGCAGAGACGCAGACAGCAAGCCAGCCGCGGGCGGCGGGAAATGCGCTCGCGGATGAGCGTGAGGAAGGCAGGTGCCCAGGGGGCCCACGGCACGGGCCAGGGCCAAGGATGAGGGGCCAGGGCCAAGGATGAGGGGCCGGGTCTGCAGCCCCGAGGGACACGGCTGGGAGTGGATGAGACACGGCCGGGAGAAGTGGGGGCGCCCCCCAGCACACTGGCAGGGGTGGGGCTGCGGTGGAAGCACCCGCGTCTGTGAGGCTTCTGGAAAGAAGTGGCGGGGGCGGATGACGACCGGACACGGGGACGGAAGGTGGAAGGGGAGGACGGGGAGGACGGCGAGGACGATCCCCGGCTGCTGAGAGCACGCTGGGCGAGGGCATGGGGGCCGCGTCCCCGCCTTGAGGTGGGGACACAGAGCGTTTAAAGGGCCTTCGAGACGTCGACGTGGGAGACGCGTGATCAGCTGCGGATGCGGCCGTGACGATCGCTAAGCACAGCCACGGCGGGACGTTACGACCGGGATGCAGGCCGGGAAGAGGAAGTGGCCTGTGACAGACGCTGTGACGTCTGGAGAGGGAGGACGGCCTGCAGAGGGCTCTAAGCACCAGTGAGGACGAGGACCTCACGGAGACACTGACCACTAGTGATGCCCACTGCTGGTGGGGCACTAAGAAACGAATGCCCCCTGCTGTCAGGACACAGGGCTCCCTGAGGACTCCGGCGGGTGATGCCCGCTTGTTCACGGCGGCCGATTACGACCACCGTCTGAGCTACTGTGACGCTGTCGGCCTGAGACTGACTGAGGAACGTGTGCTTCATCCTGAAGCGTCTCGACTGGAACTCTCTGCACCCAGAAAGGACGCGAGAGGCCAAGTTACGGCAGGACGTCATAAGCAACGTGAGACCCTCAAGCGTCTGGGTGTCGCTTAAACGCTAGGCGGTCTTAAGAGTCGCATCCTTTTCAAAATAGCGCTTCCTCTCCAGCCGTGCGGTCCTGCGGCTGTTCTCGGTCAGTCGGGAGTTTACGGTTCTCATTCGCGACTCCCGCCGCCCACGGGGGCGACGCCGCGCCTCGAGTACCTCTGGTCGATCTTCCTCTGCTGCAGCGCGTCCCTGACGAGGGCCATGCGCACGAGCGCGCTGCCGTTGGAGTGGCTCCAGCACCAGAGCTACGAGAGGAGCACAGCCTTCAGTTGACGGGGCAGGAAACGGGGCCACCGGTGTCAACGACATCCGACGGAGACCACTTACCGGCATCCTCCTTCCGACGAAAGAGTGGGAGAGGGTCCTCAGGTCCTGGTCCGCGAGGGAACTTGGCACGACGAAGTACTCCGGCAGGCTGCAGAGACAGCGAATCGCAACGTGAGTGCCGGGCTGTGGGGCGTGCGCTCCGCAGGCCGCGTGTGCAGCACACGCGTCTATCTCCGTGCGCTGTGCATCCGCTCGGCAGCCCCAGAGTGGACACCGTGGGGGCAGTGACGATCCTGACATCTCAGTCTAGAACCCCTGAACGTGGTCAGTTACCACGGGACTGGTACGTGGAGCAGGACACGTGAGACACTATCCGGGACGACGACTCATCGAGCACGTGTGCGGCTTCTGGGACCCGGACCTACCTCTGCTCTCGCCGCAGGCTACGGCCCGGGGACCGCAGGCACACAGAGCGACACGGACCACACCTGCAGCAAGACGCTTCGTCCCCCGTCCCGCCTCCCGCTTCAGCCCCTCCCCGTCCACAAGACGGGCAGACCCTAGGACACCGAGGGGACAGCAGTCACCCGCGGGCAAGCTCACTGCTCCCTAGCGACACCTCCGTTCTCTCCTCTTTCCTCCACGTGGCCCGGCGGTGGACAGAGGCAGGCCTGGCCGGGCCCTGCCACGTGCTCTCAGCATGCGATGCACCCAGCATGCCGGCCACAAAGCCTAAAGTCGAGGGGAGGCAGGAGCCCCACGCTGCAGGCTCCAAACACCTTCCTGGGCCTGTGCCCCCGGGGGACGCTGGTGCGGGGTCGGCCGGCGACAACAGGACGTGCTTTGTTCTAAAACACCGCTTGTCTGCGAGAACTAACGAGACCTCAGTGACCTTGAAAGCACGGCACCCCCAAATCCACGAGCACTGATAGGGAGGAACGAATTTAAACCCGGGACCGCGCACCGTGCTAGGCGCTGGTGGAGGGGGGATGCTGAGCCCTGGGCGGCGCCCCCGGGCAGCACGGGTCTGAGTGCGGCCCGGAGAGCCCGGTCTTCTACACGCCGACCGCGCGAGGCGCGCTGGCAGGCCCCAGCGGCCGTCAGGCTGTCCCGTCTGGGGAGCCGGAAGTCACGCGCGGGTCTCCGACCGCACGGTGCCCCTGACGCCACGTTGTCCGGGGTCGCCTGTGCTGCCTTCCCCCCACGCCTGTCTGCAGAGGAGGAGAGAATGGCCTGAAGCAACGACAGGCCGGGGGCAGGACCAGCAGAACCCCGACCACGGTGGCAGCCTGGGCGCTGCTCGTCACGCCGAAAGGGACCGGCTGGCAGCTGTGCCCGTTCTGGAAAGGGGACCTGGTACGGGATGGATGGGCCGCCTGCCACAGGGCCCGATGTCAGCCAGCGCCACCTGTGACATGGCAGGGGCCCCACAGCACCGCCTACGAAGCACACCTGCCTGAACCTGGGCCCGGATCCAAGTCCCCTCCAATCCTTTAGCGTAACTAACGTTTTCCAGAAACAGAGGAAGGACACAGAGGAGGAGCATGCCGAGCACAGCGACGGGAGGCGGAACATCCCGCGGCACCACCGACCTGGCCTGGCCAACGCGTAAACGGTGGATAAACCAAGGGGTGGGGGGCGACTGTCACCCGTGAAAAAGCCTAAAAGACACACGCGGGCGGTTCACTGTGCCCCTGACCGGAGCAGACCCACACGCACACGGACACGCAGCAACGAGGTCCTGTCGCTGCCTTTCAGCGGACGCCGACGCTGTGACCGTGTTAAAAGCCCTTCGATGTCAAACGCTCCCTAAAGCGTTATTAAAAACAAACGTCCCTTAACCACGCCCCGGAAGTCATGGAGACAGCAGAGCTCAGCCGTCATTCACCAGGAGGCCCCCCAGCTGCACAGGACGCCGCTGAACCCGGACTCACCACGTGGAGACCATGTAGCCCTCGTTGAGGGCGCAGACTCTCCACCCCGAGGCCCCCGTCCTCTTGACTTCTCTGTCCCAGTCCGAGTAAGTTTCGAAGAGCGTTGTTTCCTGGCTGCTGCCACCCTCGGCCGCACCGCCGCCTCCCGTGGGCACCCCGTTCATCTTGGTGGCTGCAAGACAAAGCGGCATGGTCAGCGGTGACGGTCACATTCGTCCGCCCTGCCCTGGCCTGTCACCATGCCCATCACAAACGCTCTAGCGGTAACGGTCACATTCGTCCACCCTGCCCTTGGCCTGTCACCATGCCCCCGTCACAAATGCCCCCGTCACAAACGCTCTAGCGGTGACGGTCACATTCGTCCGCCCTGCCCTGGCCACTCACCATGCCCCCGTCACAAACGCTCTGAGGTGACCGTCACATTCGTCCGCCTTGCCCTGGCCACTCACCATGCCCCCGTCACAAATGCCCCCGTCACAAATGCTCTGAGGTGGCAGCTCCTCCCACCTGTCCTTTACGTCTCCCTCAGCTCGCCCGACTATGCTCAGCAGCCCTGGCGGGTGGCCCTTCGCCCTGCCCTGGCCCAGCACTCCGCGTCTCTCGCCCCTACTGGCTGCATCACCAACGCCTTCAAAGAGAAACGGGCCGACCTGACCGGAGACACGGCCACTGCGCCACGCGGTGACCCCCCCCCCCCGATGCCCGCGGCCCCCACGTCCTCTCCACCGCCTTCCGCCCAGAAACCACTCAGCAGCCCCTCTCACTCTGCCCTGATCCCTGGGGTGAATCCAGGTCACTGCTCGTTCCTCCACGTTTAGCCCGGAAAAATGAACGCATCCGACAAGCACCTCTGTTCTCACGCTGTCAAAACTCGTCCCCTTTCTCACGGTGACTTCTCAATGCTGTTCTTTGGAATTCTACTCAATTTGCCTTTGGGGACCTCAAGAGACGCCTGGTGCTCCCGCAGACTGCCCGTCCACGTAGAGGCTCCAGCGGGGAGCGCCTGCAGGTGACTGAGTGACTGAGAGGCAGAGGCGTCCCGACAGCCAGCCTCATCCACCCTGCCCATCTGGGGTGACAGACGGCACAGCCTGTCCTGGTTCGGCGTCTCACTGCGGCTGGGCAGGCCTCCCAGCTGACGGCCCCGCCACGCGGCTGTGCCACACTCCGCCCCCACGGCCCCCTCCCCAAAGCACGCTGCCACACCGCACCCGCCCCCGTGGCGCTCACTGCCCGCCGAACGAGCAAACCTAGGCGGCTCTCTGGAGGGCCTCGCACCACCGACCCGCCTCCGCACCCCATCGCCCCCGGCCCCCTTCTCCTCGGGGGCCGTGGAACCCCTGGTCCGTCCGTGGACATGCCGCCACCGCCACAGGCTACGCTGGCAGTGGCCGCGAGAACCTACCGCGTGCTCAGGCCCAAAAACGAGACGAGGCGGCACCGCCGAGTGCGGAGGGCCAGCTCTGCACCGGTCACTGGCCGTGACCTGACCACCCCGCGCCTAGTCCTGAGGGACGAGCCGAACGTCGCCGGCTGGCTGCTGGGGACGGGGCAGGCACGCGAGGCAGCATGGACCACCGTCACCCCATTGACTGCGCCTCCGCGAGAGACGCCGGCCAGGGCGGCAGCGAGGTAGGGGGTGGAGGAGACTCGCGCTCTGGGCCCCACGCGGCAACCGCTGGCCACGTGCGCTATTTAATTTAAATTCAAGCTGCAATGACCATGAACTCGATCGGCAACTCCGCCCTCAGACGCGGTGGCTCGGCTCCCACACGGACGAGGCAGGCAGAACGCCCCCCCAGAGCCGCGCCGCCCCGGACCACGGAGGGTGTCGTGCACCATGCCAGGCACGGCGAATTCCACCCATCAGGCGGCATCAGTCGCCCAGTGACTCTGGTTTCAGCAGAACCTGCGGAAAGCGACTACGCTCACTGCACGCAGAGCCTGGGACCCGCCGTCTCGGGGCCGTCTGCGGAAGACCCGCCACCGGCAGGTGTGCTGCGGAGCTGGGGGCCGCGAGCCTTCCAGAACGCAGGCCCTCCACGGAATGCCCCCTCTGCACGGAGGTCCAGGGCACCGAAACCCACAGAAAGCCGCTCAATAGTAGAAAACCAAAGAAACTCATCAAACGACCACATTCGGGGGGCGGGGGGGAGGCATCCACATGATCGGCTTGTAAGCGCAGAAAAACACCTGACAGTTTTACACCTACTCGTGATTTAAAAAAAATAGCTTTAGCAACTCAGTCGAAAGGAGAATCTCCTTAACTCGATAAAGGGTGTTTATCAGAAACAGCCAGCACGCGGCCTCCTCAACAAAACCAGGAACAGAAGCGATGCCTGCTGTCACCGCCGCCAGCCAAACACCACGGCACAGGCCCTCGCCGCCCGAGGGGACGACCAGCACCAAATGAAAAGTGTAAAGAACACACTCTAAATGCGAGAGAGCTATGTACGTAGTGTGGCCGGACACTTTGAGCGGAGAGCCTAGAACTGAATAGTTCCCAGTGTTCTGAAGTCCCGGACGGTAGTGAGCCGGGCTGAGAACACGCTGTTTACGACGCTGTCCCTTTGGCAACGTTCTTTCCCAAGATCCAGGAACTGACGAATTTCCTGGGCGTAAGCTGAGCGCATCTACGGACCTTGGCCTGTCTGCCATCTTGTAGGTTTCACTCGTTCAAAACCTGCCCACTTTTCCGCACCCGGGGCTGGCCTTCTCCGTGAGAGCGTATTACAGACGGGGCAGCTGCTACTCAGCCGGACATCGCAGAGTCTGCAAATTCTAATGGTTTCCAGAAAGTGCCCAAGGCCTGGTGATGCTTGTGGCCTGCTCTAAGAGTGGACCACTTATAGGAGTCACGGCAACAGACTGGACA